CGATATGAGCATTAATCCAATTTCAAAAGAAACGAAGAAAAAAGAGATCTTAAATTATTTTTTCTTCTGTTGCCGGGTCGTAAATTTGAGTGACTAGAAAATGAAATTCCGATTAAGTCGGAAAGTACGATTTAGTTCGACATTTATCAGCTTGCCAAATGAAGCCAAATAAAAGGTAGAATGTGTGCGTATATCATTTTTATTGATCCGGTTCACCGAAAAAGTCGAGAAAAAAAAAGAAATCCCCGCCTAAATTACGAGGTATGAGAAACTCATAAATAAGAATCGGTTGCTTTTTATTTTGCCAATAGGATATTGAACGTTTCGCTCAAATTTAAACAATGAATTGAAAAGTGAATAAAAATTCGAAATTCTTCGGTGAAATGTGAATCTAACTTCATTGTTACACATAGTCGCCCCTCGATCGAAGCAGAGACAGGCAAAATGCAATGAAATCGAAAAACTGTTGCACACCCGTTACATTCCTTCCATTATGTAAGTACAGAGTGAATCGTAATTGGTGAAGAAGTAGCAAAGAATTGTGTGAAAAAGAAAGAAAACAGAACTCTCCCCGATCTCGTAATTTTTCCAATTATGGATTATTGCAAGCACACGTCACACCAAACACAATATCGTCCAAACAATGAGAATTAATAACGGAAAAGAGAGCAAAATGCATGAGCAATGGATTTGATTCATTCTCTTTTTTTTCTCCTTTTCTTCGGATTCTACTTCATTTTTCCAGGCAAAATGATCGAACATTTTAAAAGAAAACTAGGCTTAATTCTTATTTTCCCATCTTCGTTGTAATTGATTGCCGACCGAAAAATTACCTAAACGATACAGATGTGCACTGATTTGCGATTGTATTTCTTATTCTCATCAATTCACTTTCGGCCAGATGTTATAGGTAATTGGGTTGCTAGTGCAAAATGATATTCGGTTCAGTATGACATACACTGAAAATTGCGTCAATCCATTTTTCTAAAGAAAGGAGACAATTTTCGAAACGAATTTTTTTTTTCTTTCTCTTTATCTTTCGCTTTGCCTACCTGAAGCGCAAATTCTTGTTTTATTTCTTCTTCTTTTTTCTTCGTGTGTACCTTTCTTGTCGTGTACTTTGTGTCTCATTTTTCCATTGATTTGTGTAAATTAAAATGACAGAGAAAATTTTTCGAGAGCATATCCTGCTTCTCATTCCACGCATCACAGCACACACGAAACATCAAACAAGACAATTAAA